TAAAATTTTTTATACATAGCATATTAAAAACATACAGGATTATCCCTATATACTTCTACTCTTCTGATATCTTTCTCATCGGGCATGCAAAGACGAAATCTGTGAAGGGCTTTGTTTTTGAGATATTGCGCAATTTGCTGTGTCAAGATAGGTTCGCTTCCTGCAGTGAGTTCAGACACGATCAGACTCTGAAAATGTTGCTTGTCGAAGATTTTCTTTAGCAAAAGGTTTGCCAGAGGCTGAATCGAACGCTTCATTCACCTTTAATATGAATTCATCGTTAGAAGCTTGTGAAAAGATAAGACTTGGGCTCCCTCTTCGCAAAAGCCTAAAGTTTCTCATATCGGGACTGCTGATGTTTGGCTGAGTGTTAGTAAATTTAATGCATCTTCAGGATGAAGCGTTTTCAGACGTTTTGTATGCTATTAAAGGTACGGAGCAAGAGTTAATTACTTGGCAAAAATTGACAAAAATCAAAATCTTATATTTAAGATCGTTAGCATATCGATATACCTGTCTAACCATAGATCGAAGCTCCTTACTGCTTGGTACCCTCTTTCGTTCTTCCTTATTCAGCGCAGCAATAGACTGAGCCAAGACTGAAGATGCCCTGAATATGGCGACAGTGGTGGTTGACGTTGCTGAGATTCTATAGAAGATGATCTATGTTTTGTACCCCGATTTTAAAATGCCACATTAGCAAAGCAATGCTATGAGTTGTGATTCATAGACTATCCTCGGGCAGCGTAGAGATGGTGAGGGCTATTTACAATGAGTCTGAGAGAGAGAAAAAAATGCCTAAGTCATGGGGTACAGTGTGCATAAAAATCATGACACAAAACATTAACGAACGGATATATGGGACTGCCCCTGTATTAAAATATAAATATGAAACTAATTTACATCAAATCCACCATGGAACCTAAAGATTACAGTACTATCAGAAGCATCTTGAAAAGAGAACAGGACGAAAAAATTGCTCCTTATAAAGTATCTGATACCAAAACTATTAAAGAATACTTGGATAAAGATTACTTATGAGATTTCTCCAAAAACTAAACGTTAGTCCTGTTGGAGATAAAATTGCCCCTTACCATGAAGATGCTGAATGAGGTCAACAAGAAGCAGAAGAAAAACTTTAGAAGCGAGCATCATTGGAAGCCTTTCAAGAACCGAAGAAAAAGAGAAAGATATCAGAAGAGTAGAAGTATATAGGGATAATCCTGTATGTTTTTAATATGCTATGTATAAAAAATTTTA